AAAACAGAAGCTAGTACAATCCCTCCCCCTGCTTGTATTCCCTCTCTCGCTGTCTCTCTGTCAAATAAATAAATAAAATCTTTAAAAAAAAAAAAAAAGCGAGGCGACCAGCCTCAGTTGGTTAATCGTCTGACTCTTGATCTCAGCTCAGATCTCAATCTTAGGGTTGTGAGTTCAAGCCCCACGCTTACTTAAAAAAAAAAGTAAGTGTTCAGCGTCAGCGGTTAGGAGACGAGCTCAAGCATGAAATGCCGGTCATCCGTGGCCAGGTTCATGTGCACCTTTCTCAGGAAGACATAACTCACGACAGGAAAACAAATGGGGCTGGGAAGGCTCACAAAGTTCCTGAGAGACATTTTGTTAAAAAATTGTTCCACGTCCAGGAAAGGCAAGGTTATGCACCATTTAAAGGAATCAGGTATGGGTGCCTCGGTGGCTCAGATGGTTGGGTGTCTGCCTTCGGTTCAGGTCATGATCCTGGGGTCCTGGGATCAAGCCCCACATTGGGCTCCTGGCTCAGCAGGAAGCCTGCTTTTGCCTCTCCCACTGCTCATGCTCTCTCTCTCTCTGTGTCTCAAATGAATAAATAAAATCTTTATAAATAAATAAATAAATAAAGGAATCAGGTAGAACTTTACCCCATGCCAGTGGATCTCCAAGATCTATTGTTATTTGAAAGAAAGCAAGGGGAGAGAACGGTGCATATACTATGTACCTGGTGGAAGAGGTGGACAAACTTGTTTATGGGTGTTCAGTGACCCAGGAGGGCCACGTGAGAAACTGCCAACAGTGGCTGCCTATAGAGGGAACAGGACAGGGTGGAAACAAGCAGGGAGAAGAGGGTGTAAACCCTTTTGTGCCTTTTAAATTTTGCACCATATACATATAATACTCATTCAAAAAGTTAATAAAACTGGGTGTCTGGGTGGCTCAGTCAGTTAAGTGTCTGCCTTCGGCTCAGGTCATGATCACAAGGTTCTGGGATCAAGCCCTGTCGGGGACCCTGCTCAGTGAGGTGTCTGCTTCTCCCTCTCCGTCTGCCCCTCCCCCTGCATATGCTCTCTCTCTCTCTCTCTCAAATAAAGAAATAAAATCTTTTTTTAAAAAAAAAGTTAATAAAACTGCAATGGTATTCTCCAGCCATGGAGTACTACACAGAAATGAGAACGAGCCATCCACAGCTACACCCACCAATGTGGATCAGCGTCACAAACAACAGGGGTGCCTGGGTGGCTCAGTTGGTTAAGCGTCTGCCTTCGGCTCAGGTCATGGTCCTGGGGTCCCGGGATCGAGCCCCACATCAGGCTCCCTGCTCGGAAGGGGAGCCTGCTTCTCCCTCTCCCTCTGCCTGCCGCTCCCCCTGCTTATGCTCCGTCTCTCTCCCTGTCAAATAAAATCTTTAAAAATAAAAAAAGTCACAAACATCAGGCTGAGTGACAGCAGCCACAGACGTCTATCCTGAGTGCTTCCATCTATATAAAATTCAAAAAGAGGCAAAACGAATCTGTGCTACTAAAAGTCAGGACGGTTGCTACCCTGTGGGGCGAAGGGACAGGAAGGAATGCAGGGGGCCTGGGGCCCGGGCCCGTTCTGTGACTCGGATGTGGATGGCGTGTAGATGGGGAGTACGTGGCTTGCAGTCTGTGAGGATTCACTGAACAGTGCGCTTCGCTGTACACCTGTTACACATCAAATAAGCGAAAAACAATTGAAAACGCCACGAGGGCAAACTGAATGGTTAGCAAGCCACTGAAAAACCACCACAAAACGTGCGCCACGCTGCTGTTAAGCATTTCTTCTCAAGAACGCATGTCAGCGGGGCACCAGAGCTACCTGGACCTTGTCCCAGCCATGCCCTCCGGCCCAGGAGCGGTTAGCCAAGAAGCTGGAACTCCCCTCCTGGGAGCAGCTGATGGGTTATCCTCGGAGCCTCCATCAGCTACCGCAAACAAAAAGGGTGTGTGTGGCCGTCACGAGCAGAGGGTTGAACCCTGTGTGGTAATCCAGATGTTGCATAACATGGTTGGGAGGAACACTCCACAGATTAATCCACACGCATCTGTGTCCGGAAATGTCTGCCTTTCCACTCACTTGACAAGAACCAGAATTAGCATTAGATGAATCTGGAGTCACCCTGAATCCTGGCCATTGCCAAATGCAATCAGATTGCCCAAAGTGGGGGCGCCTGGGTGGCTCAGTCGTTAAGCGTCTGCCTTTGGCTCAGGTCACGATCCCAGGGTCCTGGGATCGAGCCCTGCATTGGGCTCCCTGCTCCGCGGGAGGCCTGCTTCTCCCTCTCCCATTCCCCCTGCTTGTGTTCCCTCTCTCGCTGTGTCTCTCTCTGTCAAATAAATAAACAAAATCTTTAAAAAAAAAAAAAAGATTGCCCAAAGTGTCTCTCATGTGGGATAAATTAACAGTCGCTGCGATGACGCTTGCCCCCTGCGCTTTATTCTCAACGCGGAAAGCAGGATTCCATGAGAAGCTAAGTTCGCTTCTGTTCCTCCTTTGCTCAGAGCCCTTCAGTGGTTCCCACCTCATCCAGAGTAAAAGCTCAAGTACTTACAGTGGCTCTCAGGCCTTCAGCGTGTTGGGGGCCCTCCACCTCCGCCCCATTAGCTCATCTCCTGCTTCTCCCCACCTTGGCTAACTCCACTGCACCCACACTGGCCTCCTTGCTGTTCCTCCAGCACGCCAGGTGCCAGGCTGCCGCAGTCTGTGTTTCCTCCCAGATCTTTACATAGCTCACTGTGCTCAATGTCACCTGCTCAGGGAGGCCTTCCTGGATCCCTATTAAAAGAAAAACCTCTTGGGGCGCCTGGGTGGCTCAGTCGGTTAAGCGTCTGCCTTCAGCTCAGGTCATGATCCCAGGGTCCTGGGATCGAGCCCCGCATCGGGCTCCCTG